ACTCAAACACTAAACCCTAAACCCCTAAACTCTAAACCCCTAAACCCTAAAGCCCTAAACTCTAAACCCCTAAACCCTAAACCCCTAAACCCCTAAACCCTAAACCCCTAAGCCCCTAAACCCTAAACCACTATATACACCCTAAACCGCTAGGCCCACCAGAAGCCGCTTGTCGTGCTCCGAGGTGGCCGGTGGCCCGCTGGGCAGCCGGAGTCGGTTCACCAACTGAGAGATCTTAGATTTTTTTGGTTTTGGGTTTAAAAAAAAAAATATATATATATAGGGTTTAGGGTTGAGGGGGTTAGCGTTTAGGGTTTAGGGGTTTAGGGGTTTAGGGGTTAAGGGGTTTAGGGTTCACGGGTTTAAGGGTTTAGGGTTTAGGGTTTAGGGGTTTAGGGGTTTAGGGGTTTACGGGTTTAGGGTTTGGGTTTATGGTTTAAGGGGTTTAGGGTTTGGGTTTAGGGGTTTAGGGGTTTAGGGTTTAGGGTGTAGGGTTTAGGGTGTAGGGTTTAGGGGTTCAGGAGTTTAGGAGTTTAGGGTTTAGGGTTTAGGCCTTAGGGTTTAGGGTTTAGGGGTTTAGGCTTTAGGGTAGAAAAAGCTTTCGCAGGGCTTGGTAGGGCTTGGATAGGGTGTTGTAGGGCCTTATGGGCTGGAATACGGTTGAGAGGGCTTAAGCAGGGTTTCATGGTATTCTTAAGGTTTTTACGGACCACTACTTCTGCTGTTACCACGACTACCACTACTACCATTTGATAACTTACTAACTACTCTACGACTATTACGACGACGACTGCTACTACTACGACGAAGACGATTACCCGTACAACATGCCCTAAAACCCTAAACCCTAAACCCTAAACCCTAAACCCTAAACCCTAAACCCTAAAACCCTAAACCCCAAACCCTAGGAAGAAGGCCTGATTTAGTGTCTTTTGTAGGCTTGGAAGCAGCAGGGGCTCGGTCAGGGCTCTCAGCGGTTGGGGATTCAGCTTGCGGCGTTCGGGTCAGCCTGAGATCCCTGAATGCAGGCTTCAAAGACATCACGAATCAAAGATGAAAGGAGTTCCGCAGATTCAGGCTTCAGGTTTCAAGGTAGCTTTGTTAACTTGCGCACTGAACTACGAAAACACACGTAAAGATCCCGTTCGCAGCCTCTTGTGCGAAGGATGTAAACACCTCGTGGCACAGGATCACCTGACAGGACCAAAACTGCCCTAAATCCTAATCCCTGAACCCTCGAAGCCCAGTGATAGCAGGGGATATCAAACCTGGACCCCTAAACTCTAAACCCTGTGTGGCCATGACATACAGTAGGACGGCAATAGATACCATATCTTGATCCATATTGTAAGGATCCGTAGAGCAGGCACCCATACGTGTTTAGCCTCTTTAGCCTCTTTAGAGAAGCAATCGGGCTTCAGGGTATAACCCGCAACACCAAAAGCACCTGTCAATTCGGGCTAGCGCCATGAGAACCCGTATACTCAGTCCTTATGAGGTCCCTATAGAACCCGTGCTTTTTCTACCCCACGCTATGGCTTTCGGATCGCAAGATGGAATGCATCCTCCGCTTCAAGGCTTGAAGGTTCAAGGGGTGTGTGGTGGTCTCTGGCTTCCTGCCAGCAGCACACGGAATGCCATGGCGTTTCCTGCTAGATCCTACATTACGCCTTTGGCTCGTACGCCCCTGAACCCTGAACTAATCCCATAAACTAAACCAAAACAAAACCCTAAACCTAACCCCTCATAACCCTAAACCCTAAATTCTCCAGATCCTTCGTGTCCAGGTACCGTTCCAAAGTGAACCCTGGAATCCCGATGATTCTCGACGAAGCCAGCATCTGGCCTGGCTCCAACCCTTAACCCTAAACCGGGTTTAGGGTTTAGGAGTTTAGGGTTTAGGCCTTAGCGTTTAGGCCGCGGACGCCGCATTTGCCGGCGGCCAGCGTAGCTGCGCTCAACGCAGCAGGCTCAGCAGCGAGCGACAGTCGAGCGAGGAGCCCCCCAGCGCACGGCTCTGCGCGTGCTGGAAATAATAGAATTATTTGACCCTAAACTTTGGGCACAAGCAGTCACAACCTTGGATTAGGGATTTTGGATTTTGGATTTTACTGGAGGCCACATTTTGGGAAAGGGTACCGCCCGGGATTTTAGTGGGGGCCACATTTTGAGAGAGGGTCCCCCCAAGATCGGCCACCAGCCCAATCTAAACACATTTTACGAAGAGAATTTAACGTGGCAATGCCCGGCCTTAATTTGCAATTTGTAGGATCTCCCCACGGTGGGTCTCCCCACCAGTGTTCTGGATGCTTCATCGTCCTTCTCTACGAAGGGCAGGAGTAGCGTCCCCACCAGAGCCTCCCCACCGCAGCGGGTCTCCCCACCAGAGCTTCTAAACCCTGGGCACGAGCGGTCACAACCTTGGATTTTGGATTTTGGGTTTTGGATTTTGGATTTTGGATTTTGGGTTTTGGATGTTGGGATTTTGGATTTTGGATTTTGGTCTTTGGATTTTGGATTTTAGTGGGGGCTACATCTTGGGAAAGGGTACCGCCCGGTTTTTTAGTGGGGCCACATTTTGAGAAAGGGTCCCTCCCGACATCGGCCACCAGCCCAATCTAAAACACGCATTTTACGAAGAGAACTTATCGTGGCAATTTCCGGCCTTAATTTGCAATTTTTAAGATCTTCCCACAGTGGGTCTCAGCCTCCCCACAAAGGGTAGGCCGATCTCCAAGCAAGCCCCCCTTGATAGGGGCGTTTGGGGGGTAGAAAAACGCTAAACCCGACAAAGGTCATAAACTGGGTGGGTGGGTTGGGAGAGATCAGTGAACCTGGGCGCGTACCACACCACACGTCTTGCGTGGTGGTGCACGCGGAACGTTTCACACACCCTAAACCCAAAACCCACAACCCTAAACCCGAAGTCCTAAACACTAAACCCAAAATCCTAAGCCCTAAACTCACAGCCCTGAACCCTAAACCCTAAA